ACCACCACCCCGTCCGCCCTCCAGCCTGCCCACCACCACCCCGTCCGGCCCTGAGCCTGCCCACCACCACCCCGTCCGCCCTCCAGCCTGCCCCAGGCGCTCCAGTTCCCGCCGCCCCAGCCCCTGCTCCTGCCCTGGGGCCCCAGCCTGGACTTCCTCCATGGGGCCCCCGACCTGCATCGCTTCTTCCTCGGAGTCTCCCAGCCCTCCTTTTGTCACCCTGTGTCCCTCATCATGTCCCACCACTTGCCCTAAGATTGTCTTTTTGGGCAATTATTTGTTGTTGCCTTTAAGGCAGGCCATTCCATGACGCTCAGAGATCTGGGGTGGGGCAGGTGTGCCCCCCTGACCTTTTCCAGTCATGCTCTCCCCGGGAGGCCTCTGGGGTCAGAGGCAGCAAGATGCAGTGGTTGAGGGTGCAGGCTCTGGTGTCCCATGGCCCAGCCTCACACCCCCTGGCCAGTCCTTTGTTCAGCCTCCCTGTGCTGCTGGGCTTCAGCTTCCTCCTGTGCGAAAAAGGGATCATATTCAAATCTACCTCACAGGTGGTTTCAAGCCTGAAATGAGCTACACATGCCAAGGGGTTAGCACATTGCAAATGTACACAGTAAACATTAGGTAAATATTATTGTGTTTCCTTTCCTGCCAGAAAACAATGGGCTGCTATTCCTGGAGACCTCAGCCCTGGATTCCACTAATGTCGAGCTGGCCTTCGAGACTGTCCTCAAAGGTTAGAGCCCCTGCCTCCATCTGGCAGCCCTATTCCATCCCTGAGGCTCTTGTGGGGGTAGGAATGCAGACAGCCAGCCCTTGCCTACCCCAGATGATTCCTTGGCCCCTGTGTGGGCCCCCAGCCTCCTCAGAGCCTCCCCAGTACCCCCTCCCCACTCTAAGACTGAGGCTTGGGGAAGGAACCAGAAGGCTACTTCTGGCCTCCACTTCCCAGGGAGCTAAACATTAGCCCTTCTCCACCCAGGTAAGTAGAAGGGACGCAGGTGCCCACACTCCACTTCCTCCCAGCAAAGTCTCCTTGAAGTGTGGTCACACCCGTGCTCAGCGAGTCCGCGCCTTGCGTGTAGGGGGCGTGGGCCCTCAGTCCCCTGACCCCGTCACTGCCCTCCGCCCCCCTCAGAGATCTTCAGCAAAGTGTCCAAGCAGAGGCAGAACAGTAGCCGGACCAACGCCATCACTCTGGGCAGTGCCCAGGCTGGGCAGGAGCCGGGCCCTGGCGAGAAGAGGGCCTGCTGCATCAGCCTCTGACCCTAGCTAGCACCCGCCCTGCCCCTGCTGGCTTTTTGGCGCTCCACTCCCACCCCAGCTCCAGGACCTCCCCGCCCTGTGGTTCCACATGTCACAGTGGCCCCATGGAGCTCCAAGGTCTTCCCAACGCCCCCCCACCCCCGTTTCTCTATTACCTGCCGTCCCCCCACCCCAGCCACACAGATTTGGCCTTCAAATAAAGCTGTGTTTTATACCAGTGTCTGGCCAGCCTGCTGCCTCCCATCCGTGCCTCCCCTTCACCTCTGGCCCCTCTGAGCTGGTGTTCCCCTCCCTGCCCCCCATCCTCCCCACCATACCCACTGCCCCCCAGGGCCAGCTGCCTCTGGAGTCCTGTGGTCTGGGGACAGTGCCAAGGGGGAGGGAGGGGCCCACCCTTCCCTCTGCCAACCCCCAGGGCAGGTGGGGGAGGGAGGGCAGCATGGCCAGGAGGGGGTATCTGGAAGGAGAGACAAAGGAAATCACCCTCAGGCACCATCTGGTGCCTAGGGCCCTGGTGCCAAGAACTGAGGTCACTCCAATGCCAGGGGTGGAGGGGAGGAGGCAGGGGGAGGTGTTGGAGAGAAGGGGGAGTCAGGGGCCAGCCCTGTCTATGTGTGCCTGGGAGGTGGGCGGTCCAAGCCTCCTACCCAGTTTTGTGGCCTGAACCCCAGGGGGTGTGGGGTGTAGGGACGGACCGAACCTGGTGGGATGAGTGGGGAAGGTCTCCTGGCACGCAGCCCTGGAGCTGGCTGGCCAGGGCAGGGTCTCCCGCACCAGGCCTGGGCCTGCCCGGCCCCTGCTCTGCCCCTGCTCTGCGGGGCAGGCTGTACCCCCACCCCCACCCCAGGAAGACTAGGTGGTAAATGGGGGGGAAAGGAGGGGACTGAAGGCCTGGAGACTCAAGTAGGGAGCTGTGGAGAGCAGGTGGGAGCCAGCATTTCCTGCGAGGGGGCAGGGCCCCCAGAGTCACACTTGAGAAGACTGGGCCCCCCCCCCCACAACACCCGAGGTGGTCCCCTCCTCACTTGCGCCACGGCAGGTCAGACCCACATGCGGAGAAAGAGGCCAGAGCCTTAATTAATAATACTTTTAATAAAATTAAGTTCTTAATAGCACATTTAATACATTAACCCTCCCCCTTCTTGGTTTCTCTGCATTTTGTGCAACATCACTTTGACTTGATTATTCATGGGTCCGTTTTGTTTCCCGCCTTTATCTTGCTTTTGAAATATTTTTCCTTGGTGGATTTGTACGTGTCTTCACTAGATGCCTCAAATTAAGTCTGACCACAACCCTACTCTACTTTCTACAGTGGAGAGACCATCCCCCTGCCCCAGGGCTGTCTCCCCTCCCACCCTACCCCACCCGCACCCTCCAGCGGGAAAGGGGAAGCCCTCCCCACCCCAGACTCTACCTTCCCAAACTAGCGGGGTTCCTAGGACAAAGAGAGCAGGGGGAATCTCCCTATAGGTGGGGTGAGAAGAGTGCACTGGGGAGAGGGAGCTGCGTTTGGGGCCGAGGGCCGGGGAGGGGCACGACGGAATCTCAGGTGTGAAGATGCAGGCTCCGCGTGCTCCCTGGGACGGGAGGGAGGCTGGCCCGGAGCTAGGGCTGGTAGAAGGCAAGTGCTAGAAAACATTAGGTGATTTCTCACATGCAAAAGCCACGCTCCCCAGTCTTGTGTGGGGAGGGTGATGTGCCCCCAGGCCAGGGCACCCTGGGTGGCCCTTACCCGAGCCCTTAGAGCTGGAGGGGAGCTGAAGCACAGGGCTTGGGGCGGCGTCCCCCCAAGTCCCTGCTGCCCGCCCCCTGCCTTCGCACCCCAGGGGGGCCGTTCTCCCAGGCCTTCAAGGACAGTATCTCCACTGTACCCCGTGGGGGGTGGGGGGCGGGAAGTCATTCTTGGAGTCTAACTTCTGTGAGACAATAAAGCCTGGAGAGCGCAGCGCCGTTGGAAAGAGCCATGACTGAGGTTGTTAATCCCACCACCGCCATGGGGGCCAAAAGCTAAGTGGGACACTGGCTGGGAGAGAGGACAGAGGGCTGACCCCCAGTCCTCGTGAAGCTCTGAGAACGTGGGAGGTGTGTGCGTGTCTGTTTCTAGAATGACCTACCAGGCTCCTGAATCAATCCCTCATGGGGTGGACTGAGGTTACACTTCAAGAAGGACTTCCTCGGGCCTCGGAGAAGCAGGCCCGGGAGGGTCTGAGCTGAGCGGTCTCCACCCTCCCTGAGAGCCCCAAGAGGACACAGCACTTTGGAGTAAGGACTGCTCTGCAGAGACCTGGGGATGGACCGGGTGGCAGGCCCCCAGGGGCGAGGGCACAGGGGAGGGTGCAGGTGAATGCGCTCACCTTCTCCGCTGCCCCGGCCTGGCTCCCGTGTGGTTGAAATGATCAATGTCCATCTTTCAAAGACCCTGGGGACTGAGCCCCTTATCTGTTTGTCCTACAATTTAAAAACCCAAGGATTCTCAGAATCAACCCCAGCAGACTGGAAGCTCCAACCTCAACTAGCAACCTGCTCCCACCCTGGTATCTGGAGATGGGGGATTCCTCACATGCAGGGTGGACTTGACCGCTTCCCTCATCTACTTTCCTTTTCGTTACAACTTTTATACATTCTACTGGACCCAGGGGCCCTCGATGCTACTAAACTTTAAGCTATCTGAATATCATCTACTAAGTAACTAGTAATTCTTTCTTTTTCTCTAGGATTATATGAAATAAATTTGAATTATTATTATTATTATTAATAATTATTATTTTGTAGTATTCTTTTCTTTTAAACCCCTCGGTTTCTTTCTTTTTCTTCTCTCTCTCTCTCTCTCTTTCTCTCTCTCTCATTTTTGGTTAAACAAAACAAAACAAAACAAAACTATTTCTCTTAAATCTTGCACCTCTCTGAGGGTTCCCGCAGGCCTGCTAGGCCTCAGCTCTGGACTTCCCCTCCCCACTCGCCCCCGGGACAGGGCCGGGGAAGGGGGGGCGCAGCCCAGGATCCTCAGTCCGAGCGCGTCTTCCTTTCTTGTTAATCCCTTTCTTTGTTTGGCTCTGCCGGCTCCCCCGAGGGGGAGGGGAGAGGGGAGGGGGCCTATGGGGTGAAACCCAATCTACTAGCGGGGGGGCCCCGAGGGACCAGGTTCCCCCAGCCCCCCCATCTCCACCACATATCCCAGGATGCTCCCCACGAAAAGCAAATGACATTCCTCCCCAAAAAAAAGTGGGGGGAAAAAAGGAACGTAAACCCGAACATATATTAAAAACACTTTTTTTTTTAAGATTTAACTCTGAATACAAATGTATTTTTTTCTTCTTCTCTCCCTACATATATTCTAAACCTTCTAAAGTTTTTTTATTTTTTTAAGGATCACTTTATCATAAAATAAAATATCCTTTTCATATAATAAATTACCTAATAAAAAGTCTTTTTTTCATATTAGCCCAGGTTCTTTGCTACATTTATACGGTAATAAACGCCTTTATTAAAATAGAATATTAAATTATAAAGAACTGTTTTTTTTTTTTTTTTTTTGCTATTTTTGTTTTGTCTCCTCCGTGTGGTGTTCGCCTATCTCGCTCCCTCTCACGCTCTCTCTCTCTGTTTTGTCTCTCACTATGTGTGTTTTGCGTTGGTTTCTAGGTTCGGCTCAGTTTGTAGGGTGGGGCTGAATTTTCCGAGCCCCCTAGCCTAACAGTCTTCTGCCTTTGTGGGTAAGAAGTGGAGAGGGGGAGGGGGATCGACAGACGGACACCCCTTCTTCCCACCCCCCTCCCCACCCCCTCGGCGAGGCGACCGAGGGCGCCCATTTGGTTTGGTTTCTATTGTACAGACATCTCAGGATGGCTCACGTTGGCGGGAAGGAGGGAAGTTGTCACAGACCACTTTCCTGACTGTGACCTCCTTCCTCTCCCCTCCCTGGCTGGTGGTCTGGAGGGGTAGGCTGAGGAGAGGTGAGTGAATTCACAACAGGAGGAAGGAGAGGAGGAAATCCCCCCTGTACCCCCATCCCTGCACCCCCTCTCCATCAGATAGAATGGGACTCCCGAGCGTAAGTGCTCAGAGATCACCCAGAACAGCCCCACCCCACTATATACAAGAATCTCCTGGGACCCCCAGGGACTCCCATCCCCCACCCTCTCCTGGCCCGGCCAGCGGAACCAGGAGGGTGGGAGGCTGGTGGCAGCCCTAGGTGAGCCTTGGGAAGCAGTGGAGGAAGGGTGCTAGGCCTGTTAGCAATACCCGGACCGGACGCCGCTGCACCCTAATCCCGCCTGACCCAGCACTGAGCTCTCTCTGAAGACACAGCCTCTCTCCTCAACCGCCATGGTTGGGACAGAGACTTCATGATTTGCTCGCTAATAGGGGTTTGGGTCAGGTCCAGAGAGGGGGCACAGGGCGTGGGAGCTGCAGGGGAGGGCAGCCTCCTGTCCAGCAGCCTCCCCACCTGCCTCAGGCTCCCTCCTGCCCCTTGAACAGCAGATACGCTACCCTGCCTCTCCTCTGCCTGCAGCCAGAAGATCCAGCCCAAGAATTGTTCCCTAAACACAATGCCCAAAGATGGTAGAGGCAGAGGTTTGACCCTTGATGTACCCCAGTATTAGTCCCCTCCTCAAATTTTCACTGAGAATAGCCTACATTCCATCAAAAATTCGAGGTGTTTCTTTGGAGGAGTGGGGAGGGCCTCCAGATGCCAGAAGAGGAATTAAGGAGGGGGTCATCCAAATGCTCTTCTCCCCTACTTCTCTCCAGGGGGACGGTGAGCCCAAAGCTGGACTAGAAGGGGCAGGAGGGAGGGGGAGAAGAGGCGGAGGAGGACAGAGCCGGGAGTGACAGCCATCAAGGGGAGCAGAGGAGAGCTGGTGGGAAGAGCAAAGGGGTGAGGAGGGCCCAACCGGAAGAAAGCCCGGGAGGAGAGAGAGGCTGAGGGGCAGCCAGAGGGGCCGAGGGGAGCTCCATCTCCAGACCCCTCCACCCAGCTCCGTGGGGAGATGAGCTCTGAGCCCTTTTACGGGTTGACATGGTTCCCC